AAGCTCTCTGATGAGATAAAGGACCTCAAACTGGAGCCACAACAAGTCAACTAGTAAGCGGTGGGGTTAAAGTTATGCTGAGCAGAAGGTTAAATCTGGCAGGAGACATCCATTCCATAGAGCTTTTCTTGAGCTTCCCTGCTGAGCGTCCTCTGGGTACAAGTCAGTTCCTAATAATGCATGTGCATGTGCACACACGTGTATCCGGTGTCCTCCCTTATGCCCTCAACAGATTTTTGTGAATGAAAAGCTAAATCACTTCATTAGGGGAAAAAACACTTAAGGTGCATGCATAAATCGTTTTTATTATTTTATTTTTTTGTTCTTAGTAGGTGACTTCCTTTCTTCTCACTGCTGCTTTTCTCCTAAATGAATAAACCTTATGCAGGTGATTTTCTATTTCTTTACAACTTCTTGTTCTCATCTGCAAATTCTTTGGTGCAAGTAAATGTTGCTTTCCCACTCTTCTAACCTGTTGGTTTTTTCCCCTTCTTGGAGTTGGTTTGATAGGGAGAAAGCATAGCTGACCGACGGCTTTGAAAACATCAAGTAAAATGAATGTAGTGTTTAACTGAGTTGAACTAAAACGTGACTTCTTGAAAGAAGTTTGCAAAAGATTTGAAAGACCTGTTGATCTGAGCAGAAGAGGCTCAGGGAACTGTCACACCGTAAGCCAGCCTCTGGGATCACGTTCAGGTTGACATCCATCAGCATTCGCAGAGCTGGCTGAACCCCGCTCCTTTTAAAGACTTAGGAACTGTAATCCCTCAGCTAGATTGGATGGTAAGACTGATATTAGAGGTAGATTTCCAAAGTAGTGCTCGGGGGATTTTGCTGCATCACGAGTTTTTCAGGGGTTTTGAATGGTTTTAGAGATTTTTTTGAGTTTTGCAGGTTTTTGATGCTCGGTGAAAAGCCTTTGCAACTTGTATTGCACCCAGCACTTATTCCCAGGAGACTTCTCTCCTTTTTAGCAAAAATTCTTCATTTGAGAGATGAAAAGTGTGGGTTGGTGGGGTGTTTTTTTTGGTTGTTTTTTTTTTTTTCTTCTTTAAACCCTTTGTTGACACACCTTCTGGAGAAGGGGCTAGCTGAGAAATCAGACAGGTGTTGCCTGATGGTAGCTGGCGTGTGCGTATTGTGATACTGAATTACCAGCCAAGGTGCCAAGAGTGGGTAATACAGTACGTCTGCACAGGCAGGTGGGCAGGGCAGGGCTGCAGGCACTGGAATGTTTTCTTCTTTGCTTTTAAAGCATATTATTAAGCAAAAAGCGAAAATCACTGATGTTCTTAGCGATCTCTTGAAGTCTGCTTACTTGGGCATGATGTGCAGCACTCGAACCCCAGAGAAAAGTTCGAGCCAAAGCTCTTTCCTCTCCCTCTCAAACAAGTAACACGTCTCCAGGCTCTGCTCTTTTGTTTTAAATAACTTTCTGGTCCATAGATCTGGTAGAAGTGGTGTTTACACTCCTTGGGCTGTTGGCACAGCTTTTGTTCCTGCTGCTAGATTTTGACTACTGTCATCTTGCTAAAGGACAGGTTTGTTGACTGGGTCAAACTCACTTTTGGTATATTTTTTGCTCTTAATTATTTTAACTTTTCTACACTAGCAAGTAACAGAAGTGAGTTGATTAATAGTCGTGCTCTAGCTTTCTGGGAATTGCTAGTTGCATGATCTTAACTCTCATACAGTGAGCGTTTGTCGCAGTGGTGGGCAGGGTGACTGTCACCTTTTGTGAGGTAGGACCGTTTGGGGACTGCTGGGGAGAGGCACCTATGCCAAGAGGGGTGAACCTTGCTTGCAGGCACTCTCTGAATGCACAGACAGCTCCTGCCTCAGGGTTTTTTTCTGATGCTTATTTGCTTTGAAATCTATATACAATATCCTGTCTTGCTCCCTGGATATAGCGATTATCACCAGTCCAGTACAAAGTTGCCATGACCTAGTTGTTCACATCTATTTATGCCAATAGATGGCTGGGCATCAGGTTACCCACGGTTGCAGCAAAGTTGGCGGGGTGGGAAACTCAAGCCCCTTACTGTTTGACAGCAGGTACCCTGTGGACAGATTTACACCAGTGTTAAATGACCGGCTGCTGAGCGATTGCACGCTCACGGGCGGCTGTGCCTGAGGTAGATGTGAAATCATGGCGATGTGCCACAGCCCTGAGCCCTCTGTAGTGCCCATGAGGCTTGAACTCCTCTTGCAGTCGGGTGACAAAAAGGCAGCACAGGCTTCCTGCTGTCCTGTCCACCTCTGCTGGGTGCTGCTGCTTGCCTCCCCATGCCCTGACCATGTCCCAGAGCAGACGTGGGCTACTGGGCACCCTCCTTCTCTGAACATGACAAGTTCAAGGTGTTCGCCAGAGTCTGGAGCTCTTCAGTCCGCCCTGTTTGGTGACCATATATATGTCTCTGTTGGACAGCCTTGTTGATCATAACCTGTTAGCCCTTGGCTGTTTGCTTGCTGTGAATTGAAGCTGCAGGTCTGATGCCTTCCTTGCTGCTTGTAGCCAAAGGGATCTGACAGTTGGGGTGCTGAAAGGTGGACGAGGAGCAGATTCCTTCCGTTGCTGGTAGAAGGGCCACATTGTTTGACTTGGAGCCTTAGTATTCATGTTGGTATTGGGCACCTCTCCTGTCCTTCCAAAAGCAGTGATTTCTTTTTTTTTTCCCTTCTTGTAACCTCAGCATTCTGTCTTTGAAGATATTATACATAAAATTGCAGTCAACACCACCACTTCTGATCCATGACCAAGGGGTGTGTATCTCCTTCCATTTGTTCAATTCTCCGAATGCCTGCAGACACTGGACACGTCGGCTCCTGGCGTGTGTTCTGCCTTCCCCGTGCCATCACATTTCCATATTTATGCTTTCATTTCAGCCCATTGCCTTTGGGTGCCCAATTTCTTTACAATTCAATGATGTTAAGGCATTCAAGTGATTACTTAGCTTCTTGAGATTTTTGAGGCTTTCTGTCCTTGAAACCTTCACGGTGCTGTTGGCAAACTGATGTGTTGACGGAAACAATGCTTTCTAAATTTTCTTCCTGTTTCAAATATAAATGATTCTTTTCCTACCTCTTGAGATGAAAAGACAACATAGTGAGCTCACTCTTACCTTCAGTAAGGAATTGCTTTTTAATTAAAAAACAATAAGGAATTTCAGGTTAAAAAGATGTATGATATAAATCACCATCTAGATCTGTTTCGCAACTTTTTTTTGTAATTGTTTGGCATGTTCCCCATTTCCGCGGGCTGGGTAAATCCTTTGTGGGTTTAATCTCTAGCCTGCAGGCACATAAAATACATTGCACAATTTGGCCTTTGCATTTTGAAGACTTTTTTTTTTCCTTAGCTTAAATACCTGTAGCATCTTCTCTGCCATATGGAAGGGTGGTGTTGAATGAGGAGAGAAGGGGCCAGTTTGGCTTATTTTTAATCCCTCTCTCCTTCCCAGTGTCTCTCTCCCAACTTTGGTTTTTCCTATGTTAGCAACATGTGCACTTTGAAATGCAAATAATCCCTGAATATCGCTAGCTAATCCTTCTGTTGCCACGTCACTCGCCACCCACCCATGCGTGTGCCTGCTCTTCCCATCCTGGCAGGGTGGATGGCCAAGTTGTGCTCTCGACCTGTATGAACCTGTTGGTGCTCTGTTTGAACAGTTGGGACCGGGGCTGTGTCGGCCACGGCTGCTGGAGATGTTTTTTGAGAAAAAAACCACCTTGGGGCTTTCACTTTTCTTTCTCTGCAAGAACCGAAGAGATGGAAGTGGGGAAATGCCAGCAATTCCTGTGGGTTACGTGGTTAGAGTTACTGGGAGAACTCTGAGCTCGCGCATGTCTGAGCACCAGGAGAAAACTGAATGTCTCTGGAGAGGGCTACTGATGAAAACTGCCATATTTTGAAAGAACTTGTACAGCAGAACAGACTGGAGAGTCTCCTTCATGAAGGACCTCTAGAAAAATGGGTTCAGGTTACATTGCTAAGCATGTGCCCTTATTTCACTGAGAGTTTTTGAAAGAAACCGATGACTTCAGCCCATGCCTCGATGTTTTGCTGAGTAAAGGTTTCCAGGTGTGAACCTTTACACTGCTTAACACCTGCTACACTGTTGTTATTGCTTTAGTGGGGAGCATTTTAAAAGAGGGAATCTAATATGCTCCAAACTAGCACAGTGAATAAGAGCATCTCCTGCTTCAGGTATTTGTTGCATGGTCACAACCTCCCTTTTGGAGCCAGCTGCTTGGTTGTGCTCTGGGTCTCACAGTGGACCTGGTCTTTGGGCTATTCAGTCCTTCTGACATTTTTTTATTTAAAAAAAAAAAAAAAAAAAATCCTTCTTTTTTTTTTTAACCTCTTTTGTGGACATAATGTTTTGAGTTTAGAAGTGCAGAGATTGCTGCAGAGGTGTGAGATGCTTTTGGAAGATGACTGAAATGTCAGATTTTAGTACAACTCCCAGATTTGTTGGGGACTTGCTTTCAAGTACTGTTCGATTCCAAGGTTCACTTTTTTATTTCATCCCTCTACAAAAGTAGGAGGGCTTCTTACAAAACAGGATGAAACACTTTGTGTGTGGTTTCCAGTGCTTTCAGGATTATACAGTGTTGTGAAAAGAATAGTGTCCGTTTTGTTAGGTGGGTAATGTGGAAGAGGGGGTGTTTTACATGAGCAAATACAGCCTTTATTTCTCTTGGGCACACCAAGAGAAATAAAGACTGTATTTGTTCATGTAAAAGTAGTGCTCTTTATCTGAAGACTTTTTTGCCTTTGGGAAGACTAAAATGTAGATTTATACTCTGCTATTCTAAAACAGGTAAAGGTCTGGGGTTTTTGCCACTTGTCTGGATACGTAGCTGTTGTATGAACAAATGCAATGCATGTGCAGTAGCTGGTGCATTCAGCTTCATGTACAACCCATCTGCATCCTTCTGGCATGCCTCCACCCCTAGCTGCATGTCCTGACTCTCTCTTGCTCTTTTCCCCCATCCAGTATTCCACCGAACTGAAAAAACTGTACTGCCAGATTGCCAAGACATGTCCCATCCAGATCAAAGTGATGACCCCACCGCCTCAGGGAGCTGTCATCAGGGCTATGCCAGTCTACAAGAAAGCTGAACATGTCACCGAAGTGGTCAAACGCTGCCCAAACCACGAGCTGAGCCGGGAGTTCAATGAGGGTAAGGAGGGCAGTGCTTTGCTGGCAGTCCCTCTCCAAAGTTGCTTGACTGAAGAGTGGTCAGTGCAGGGATTTGGTGGCAGCTTCACAGCAAACCCTCTGGAAGCAGACCTCCCTGCAATGTCTTGTGCAGCTTCTTATTTCCCGTGCTTAGCAGCAAGATTCATACTATACTTTAGCTGTCCCTGTGCAAGCACGTCCTTGGGAAGAAAGTACTGAAATAAGTCTCATGCCTGCCCAGGTTGGATGGATGTCTGTCCCCATGGCAGGCAGTGCCCTTCTGGCAGCCTTTCCCTGCTCCGCTTTTGCTCCCGCGATGAGAAGCAGCTGTTCTCGTGCTCAGGAATGAGCTTCCACGTCGCTGGGACAGGGATCTAGTAACAGGATGCAATATCATCTCCAGTCCTTAATCCACGCCTCAAAGACGGCGGGGCTGTTTATCTCTAGCAGGATAACACTAAGTGCCAGCATCAACTGTAGGCAACCTTCCTGTACATTTAGCACTATCGGTTCAATATTAATGTTTTAATCTTTTACTTACTTCTCCTCATGTTAGTGAAGTAGCAGCTGTTTTAAAAATGTCCTGGGCTTTTCTGCAAACTCATGGGCTGGGCACTATTTTGTCTTGGCCACTTAAGTTCACATAAGTTCACATGAGCATCTGTTTTATTCTACGTGCATTATTTATCTCCTACTGTAAAAAAACCACCAGTTGGTGTCAGTTAGCAGGATGTCTCAGTTAGCTTGGATCCCTTTGCTGGTTACAATGCAGCCAGCTAGACAAGCCCAAAAATAAGCAAGGACTTGACAGTGTAAAATCAGAGTGAAGTGAGACAGTTCTTTGAAATAGTTTTTCATATTAGAAAGTGCTTTTTCAACAGAAATGGATTTTTTGAGGATTGATACCTGGTTCAGTGGTGGAGTTTTAGGAAAGAAAAAAACCTAAAATTTTTAATTCTTATTCTGAAATAATTATTTCTGTAGAAATACGCTGTATTTCAAGGAATAAATGAACATTTCAAACACACGATCTTTGAATGAACCCATAAAAGGCTTCTTTTCTCAGAATTTAGTTGTATGTCATAGAAACACTGAAGAAAATTTGCAGGAAGAAAACTATTTTTTTAAATTACTAGAAAGGGACATATAAACAAAGATCATGCTCCCTTCTGTAAGCAAACATGATTTTTTTAAGTTGACTGTTAATTAAATGTGTATTTCTCCTGCTGCTGGAATCTTTTTTTAGCTTCTTAGGATCAAGACTGATGGCAGGGAACAGAAGCAGGCTAGCAGTTGTTTGTGGAAAGAGTAGAGTTTGAGACTCATGGATTTGTGTTGTGTACACACTAGAGGGAGGAAAAGAGAGGCTTTCAGTTGGTGTGAAAATCCACATGGAGTTACCTGCTCAAAGAGTTGCTGTGAGCTGCCATGCAGCTGATATTTGGGCTTGCTCAGCCTGGGATCTTGGGAAGCCCATGTTCAATTTTACTCACAAGTGTCCAGCGTGAGCTTGAGAAAAGTCTGTGTTGCCTTGCGTGTCTGGCAGCGGGCAGAAGGGATGCTTCAAGGGCTGGGAGACGTGTTTCTGATAGACCTCTGGGGCCAGGTGTGTGGGTTTCCCTTGGTGGAAGATGTTGCTGCCTTCTGTGTGAGCTTGCTTCACTGAATGATGTCTGTTGTTTTTTTGCCTCCTTGCCCTTGCAGGGCAGATTGCACCTCCCAGCCACCTGATCAGGGTGGAAGGGAACAGCCATGCCCAGTATGTAGAAGACCCCATCACCGGGAGGCAGAGTGTGTTGGTCCCCTACGAGCCACCCCAGGTATGTTGTGAGCTTAGGGTTGTGACATCCCAAAGGGGTGGGGATTGTAACACTCATCAAAGGAGTTGAGAATTTGTGCTTTCCCTATCCTAATCACAATGAATTTCTTCTTCCTCTTTGTCAGAAGTGAGCTTTTAAACACTAGCTTTATCCGTTGAGAGCAGGAGTTCTTAATTTCTATTAAGGAAGCCTTGTGGTGGGGCTTATTTCATGCTAGTCTGGTTGTAGCACAGCTGTGGCGGTACAAGAGCAGAGCCTGGAAAAAGCAGAGCTTTCCACCACACCGTCTCTTATGCTCATCCTCTTTATCTCTTCCAGGTTGGTACAGAGTTCACAACAGTCTTGTACAACTTCATGTGTAACAGTAGCTGCGTGGGAGGGATGAACCGTCGCCCGATCCTCATCATTGTGACACTGGAAACCAGAGAGTAAGTAGTGCATCACAAGCATAGCCCTTTGCTTCTGAGGTGGCCTCCTGGCTCTTCTTCTGCTCAGGGCAGCATTGCAAGGTCCTTAGGGACAATTTAATGCAAAGGGCCATAGGATATTTTTAAATCTTTGCAGGCAGGAGTTGCCCAGCACCTGGGTTATCCTGACTGGGAAATGGGAGGTTTGGGTCTGTCTGTGCGTAGTCTGATGTGAGGGTGAAGGATGCTGCAGGCCTGCATCTGAGCTGCCAGCTGACGTTTCCTCTTTCACTTCTCTTCCCAGTGGGCAAGTCTTGGGCCGCCGATGTTTTGAAGCCCGCATTTGTGCTTGCCCAGGCAGAGATCGCAAAGCAGACGAGGACAGCATCCGCAAGCAGCAGGTCTCCGACAGCACAAAGAATGGTGATGGTACGAAGCGCCGTAAGTAGCTGGCAGAGCTGGGCAGATTGCAGATCGTGCTGTCACCGGGTGTGCGGCGGGGACGCAGCGGTGCTGTGCATGGGCTTGGAGGCAGGATGGTGTTAGATGTCTGTTCTCCCTGGGTGAATCAGCCTGAAAAGTTAGCTGGTGTTCACAAAACAGCATTTGACAATCTGGTTTGCGGGCTCCCTTGCAGCTCTGCCTGTGTTAGATTAACCCTGCCAGCAGTGACTGGAGGGGATGTTTGTTTGCCACCCTCAAGGTACATGGTTGGGACTCTGTAACCACTTTTTGAACCTTTTACTGCTTGTTTGGGACTGTGTTGCTGTTCTCTGTTCCTTCTAGCCTGTGTCTTGTGCTGTGGCATGTGTCTTCCAGCCACAGGGGTCTAGATAAGACTGCATGTAAACCCTGCTATGCATTGGAGGTGCTCTGGCAAGTGGACTCTCTCTGTGCTCCAAGAACTGCAACGTACTCATCAGACATGCAAGATGTGGAAACCCAGTTTTGGTTTCCCATGTATGCTCAGTGATGGCACTAGACTGCACAGCAAGGCAGCCGGTTTTAACAGGAGGCAGGTTGGAGGGGGGCTTCGTTTCCGCACTGGATTCTGCGTGCTCCCCACCTGTCATCTTGCCTTCGTGGATCACTGCTCTGCCAACAGCTTGTGAGCACTGTAATACCAAAACTCATAGTCTTTCCTGCAAAGAGCCAGTGCTTGTTCTAGATACAGCTTTTGCCATGTATCCAGCGCTCCTTGGCTGATGCGTTTCCTCAGGAGGTATGGCCACCCAACATCTGCAAAGTCATGTCCACCTTATGGAGCCAGGAGCTGCAAGCACAGTTCCGGAGTGGCTGAGGCAGAGACCCTTTCAGAGCACTGCGGATTTGAGCTGGCTGTGCACTCCATGTCTCTCTTTGTATTTCTCTTTTTTTCTTTTCTTTTTCTTCCTGTTTGGTGGGGATTTTGGGGGGTTTTTTTGTTTGGTTGGTTGTTTTTTTTAATGGGATGCTTTTGGGTTTTCTCTTCCAGCTTTTCGACAAGGAACTCATGGCATACAGATGACATCTATCAAAAAAAGACGATCCCCAGATGACGAGCTATTATACTTGCCGGTGAGTTCTCTCTGTCTTTACATTTAATGTGTGTTTAGTATCTTCCTCAGTGACTTGAAGAAAGTCAGCTGCTCACCTAGACCTCACAGAAAACTGAGGTGGGGATGGGATGTGGAAATTCTTTTTTAATCCCTAGAACTACCTATTTTAAATACATATTCCAGACAAAAAATGTGAGAAATCCCGTTAGCTGCTGACTGAGAGTGGCTTGTGCAAGGTGTATGAGAATATCCCAAGTGATCTGTCTGTCTTGGTGGAAACATTGTCTTGGAGACGTAACTGGGTTTCCTCCTCTGTCGTTTATTGGTCTGTGGCGCTTGAGCTTTCTTTAGAGATAATTGGGGTTGTCTTGCTGACAAAGGTGGATGTTTCTGTGACTTTTTTGCGTATTACCATCATCATGGAGTGATAGAAGTGAAATAAACTGTGTTAAGTGTAGGATCAGAAAGGGCAAGAAGTATCTGTAATTGGCCATTTAGCTGCTTCCCCTGAGCCACATTTAGTTGGATAAATCACAAACCATGGTATGCTTAGAGGAGAAGGGAGGTCCAAACCCAACGCTCAAATTCAAGTACTGTTTTTTTCCTCGAGGTATGTAAGATTCAACACCAAAATTAGTTAAATCTGGGGCAGGTAAAGACATTTTCTGTCTAACAGACTGGATCAGAGTATTGCTTTTAGTTGGCATATATTTGCATCGAGCCAGATGACAACCCCAAGATGTTAATTAACCTGCAGTGTCAGATTATTGCTATTCAACATTATCTGCTGGACCTTTAGCACAAGCTCAGCATTTTTATTGCGTGTGCATAAACAGAGTATTTGCATCCAACTCTGGTTATTTTACTTGACTTCATCTAAAACTCCCTAAGGTGGCTGTCACTCTAGATGCAGTCCTTTAAAGCTTTTCTTTTCCTCCTTTTCTTTTTCCCATGATCCAGGTGAGAGGACGGGAGACATATGAAATGCTACTAAAGATCAAAGAGTCCCTGGAACTTATGCAGTACCTTCCACAGCACACAATTGAGACCTACCGGCAGCAGCAACAGCAGCAGCACCAGCACTTGCTCCAGAAGCAGTGAGTATGAGTGTGCCTGCAGTGACCTGTGCGGTGAGGACAGTGTGAAGGGGGAGAGAGGAGAGAGACACAGAAGGCTTCTGCAGTTGTTCATAGGGATGTGGTGCTCAACCAAGGGCCAAGCACTCAGAGTACTGTGTTGGCAAAATCCCTTCCAACAGCATAGCTGCTTGTTATCCCCCTGGTCAGAGCTGGCAGAAGTTGATGCCAGGAGTTTGACTGAAGCCAAATTTCTGGACTAGAACTTTAGAAATTATGAGTTTGAGATTTAGATTTCATGAGCTGCACAATGGGACAAAGCAGTGCTTCTTCCCCAACTGCATGTCCTGACTGCTTGCAAGGTATGCTCTTCCCTCCTCTGTTCTGTGGGAACGTCAGCAAATGTGGAGCCATCTCCACACCTTCTCCAGGGTGTCCAGCTGAGCATCTTGCAAAAGCACGTGGAGCTGGGACTGCAAGCACTGGCTCGGCCAAGCACTCAGACTTCACTGCTGCACATCTCTGGTGCTGTTGGAGGGCTGGAGTCTCAGTGGAGTATAAATACTCTAGGTTCCTCAGCTATAGAGAAGCTGAAAGTTTGGTAGCAAGGATGAAACATGTTTTGTAACCTGTGGGCACTTCAAAGAAAGACTCTATGTGTACAATTTTAAAGTGTTTTTAAAAGCTCTGCCTTGTCACTTACTCTCCGCATTGCGCATGAGAAACTTTCCATCTGGGCAGACGTAGTCCCTATCTGAACTTGGCTGGCAGGGCTGCGCCAGGCGTACTTTGGGTGGTGTAAGTGGCAGGAGGATGGGAAGAAGAGGGGCCAAATAAGTGTCTGGTTTCCATTTTCCACTCCATTCCCAAAGCTTTGCAGTTATGGAGACTGGGTCAGAGAATGACGTCCCAGTCGGATCGTAAGCGGTGTCATTCATGGGCATTGCTTCACCTGCTGTATCGGGTGGCAGAAAATAGCCGCCCGGGCTGTAGGTAGCCACCAGCGGTAGTGCTTAGGATCTCGCGCGTTCCTGCTGGTAAGCTCACACGTCAAGAGGCTGTGGGTACAACTCATTCCTCTGCAGAGGTTAGCATGAGGCCAAGGCTCCACATAAGTCCCACTTGAGCCTATAGGGATTTATTTCGGTGCCTTGGCCTTGTCTCAGGACTTCTGCAATACCGTGGCTTTCTGCCAGATCACTGCATGTGTTCACATTTCGACCTGTGTGTTTTTAGTGTCAGCTGGAGTCTTGTGGAGGTGTGAAAAAAAGCCTTGTGCCAAAATGGCTGGAGCATCCAGGGGCTCTGGATTTTTTTTTTTTTTTTTTTTTTTTTTTTTTTGAGGCACATAATAATGAGAATTTTATCAGTCATCTGCACTGTTTCTATATACTGTGGCTTGTATTTACTAGCTGCTAGGCATTGTGGCCTTTGCATGCTTAGCTGTGTATCTTCAAAGCTTCACCTGAACTACAGCCATTTCAGCTGAGAAATGGTTTTGTAAGCACAAATGGATGGCAGCAGATGACAGCTTTCACTTGGTGCTGACAGTTGCTTTGCCATAATTACTGTTTTCATTCTTCCTGTATCAATAGGATGGGTTCCTGGCAACTGGGGCTGGTATTTGTGTTACCTTTAAGACCAGTGTGTATGAGTCCAGCCATTTAATTTAATTAAACTTCTTCTAGCATGTCTTGTGGCACTTGTCCAGTTATAGACTCATTTTTCTCAGCTGTTGAGTGTGCTTGGATACTGGGGAGAAAGATAAAGAGCTTTTAAGGATGCCAGGAGTGGGGAGAAAAATAACTTTCAGTGTTTGTCTAGAGCTGCTGCAGTTGTCTCGCCGACAGCCTGCCATCAAGCAGGGTCCTCTGTGCTGAAATGCATGTTCAAGCAATAGCTTCTTAGGGTGCAGTTGGGTTCTGGTACTTTTTCCTTGATAATTCAAGGTATGCCTTCATTTCTGAAGGAATGTATTCAGGGCCAAGGGGCATTTAGGCTGAAAAGGCTCATAGGTGCAATTGCACCCAAAAAAAGTATCGTAAAGGAGCTTCAGGTCTCAATGTGAGAATGGAGAAAAAAGACACTTTGTGGGAACTGGTTTGGGTAAGAGCAACCTTGCGTGCGAGCACGTTCAGCAAAATGCACGCTGCTGGGAGATGTCCTGCCACTGCTTCCTTGCCAGGCTGGCCAAACTCAGCAGCATGGTGACTCCTTTGTGCGTCTGTTCTGGCCTTAAAAGAAAATGCCTTTCACTTTATAAGTAGGGGTGTACTTTCAAAAGTCAGTCTCAGCTTGCTTTCATTCAAAGTGTATGTTAAAACTGGGAGCTAAGGAAGTATGTATGAAGTGACCAGGTTCGTATGTGCAGGAAGCTGTAGGTCCTACCAGGGCTCTGTGGGACCAGGAGGTTTGTCAATTGCCTTTGGCTCTTTATTCTCAAAACAGAGATGCATCCACATGTTCTCCTTAGTCAAACCTTGATGAAGGAATTGCTTGATTTTTCAGTTCACTTTCTGAGCAACTCTTAATGTAGAAAAGCTCTCTAGGTTTATGGGAAGAAGTTTCCCTTTAATTCCTACAATGTGGAAAGCTCCATCATTTTTGAAGAGTAGGAAGAGCAAGGATGAGATTATCATGGTGAAAGGTAACTTTAAAAAAATAAATCTGTTACTTTGGAAAACAACTGTATAATTGTTCTCCTGCACATACAGATCAGCATTGCTTTTGGCAGGCCAGCAGATGCAACTGTCTTACTGTTCTGGAATAAAAAGGACAAATCTGGTGACAAGCAGAAAGCTCTGTGATCCACAAGATGACCAAAAATACTACAATGCTCCTCATTATGCCAGACCTTGATCTTTCTCTGTCTCGTCTCCTCTCTCTGATTGCTCCTTTGTGCATGGTTTTCTCTTATTTACTGTTTTGCCAAATACCTTCATGATCATAGGTGGGAAGTTTTTTTTTCAGCTGCAGTTTTTGCTCTTCCTTTTTCACTGCCAGATCATGGGGCCCATATTTGAACAGCAGCACACATGTTTATTTAAAAGACTTCCTCTTTATGGTTTGCCACCGTTGATTAAAACACAGATTTACCAGAAGATCCCTGCTGCCAGAGATACCAGAGGTGGCCTGTGCCTTGTTGAGGAGGGAAAGTTTTTTCAATACTCTACTGTGAAATAGATTTACCACCAATATTCCCAGGGAGTATCTGTAGAGTCTCTAAGGGTTTCACTGGAAAGCACTTTTTCATATTCAACAAAATTTCCCATGGTGGGTTTCACCCTGCTGAGCACTGTTTTCAGAACAGTCTCTGTTTGAATTGGTGATAGCATGATTGAAGGGATTTCAGTCTTCCAGTAGCTACCAAGAAGGGGGCTCTTATGTCCCAGCAGGTTCTTATATCCCAGCAAAAGTTTCTCTCATATCAGCAGGGCTGCAGCTACCAGCCCATGGGCTGTCTTCCAGTCTAGTGAGCAGAACAGCTCGTTATCCAGACAAGAGGGAATTAACCTCACAAATGTGAGATATGACAGAGCCAAGCTATCCAGTGCCTGGAGTGCTTCAGCTGAGGTGGGAGCTGCAAAGATCCTGGTGCCTGCTGTTGTGGGGAGGGGGCTGGTGGGGAAGGTATTCTTCATGTCTCCACCTAATTATTCTCATATTTGGTGTGGAAGCTAATAGTGGATTTTTGCATGGTTTGGTTTTACACTGCTATGCTTGCATGTATTGTAAACTCCAGGCACTTGGATAACCTTCTCACTAGAGAATTGCCAAATTAAAGTAAGCAAGAAAAAGTGTGGGATTAGGTATAAAAAGATGTGCTGCGTTTGCTTTGCTGGCTCTGAGAGTGCAGTGCCTTCCACATCAACTGGTGGCCCCAGGGACCCCTCAGCTTTAGTGCAGAGGGTCCCCCAGCTTTGTTGAGATGTAATCAATATGGCCCTTTTACTGTAGGCACCATCCTCTCTCCCCCTACAACAGCTTCTGGTTTTTAAGTAACATAAGTTTAAATTGGGCTCAGTGGAAGCTGCTTCTCTCTTTTTTTTTTTTTTTCTTTTTTTCTTTCTTTTCCCCCCTTTGGATGAGCACTTTTTTCCTCTTGTCACTGCCTCTGGGAACAGTTTTGGAGCACCATGAGACTGGGACACAGAAATCAGATTTCCCTATCAACTAGTTATTTTCTTTTCCTTGCCAAGCACTCACTTGTGCCTGGGTTTTTCTGGCTTTCTAAATCTCCCTGTTGCATACCCTCACTGTGGGTGCTAAGACATCTGCTTTTCCCCTTCTTCAAAGCCCATACTGTGATCATGAAGGTGGAAAGTGACTGTTTATCTCATGGTGGCTGGTGAAGGGTCCTGTACATTCATCTTTTTCTTTTCTCTGGTTCCTTCTCTACAGTCTCCTTTCGGCCTGCTTCAGGAGTGAACTCACGGACTCAAGGAGAGACCCTCCCAAACAGACCGATGCCATCCTAAAACATTCCAGCCCCCCAAACCCATCAGTATATCCATAAAGAACTGAGCTGTTGGGGTGGCTTTGCCCAGCTGGCGGGACTAGGAACAGTGGGGCAAATACACAGCCTGATAACAACAGAGTAAACAGTGAGAGTAATCTCCTGAAGGGACTCAAACTTTGCAAAAACAACAGACACTTCTACAGACGTCTTAGCTGTAGCCTGTAGCAATGGGAGGTCAGGAACCAGAGTGTCGTCTGTCTTGGTGTAACGTTTTCTTCCAGGTTTTGTAACCTGTTCATACTCTTTCCTGTTACTTCTGTATTTGTGTAACTCGGCAGGGTTTCTCTGAGCAGGTCTCAATTTTAAAATGGCTTTTGTCTTGTTTAAATTAAAAATGTGTTCATGGGCTGGGAGGGGATGGAAGAGGGTGGGGTGTGTTGAAACAGTCTGTAATAGTCAATTCAGCCTGTTTTAATGCTGGTCATGCAGTAATAGTGCAAGTAGATGAAGTATTTGTACTGCTGGACAGAGGAAAGTAATAATTATATGGATTGGCACTGGT